ATTTAATACTTGCGCCGGGTATTTAATGTTCGGCTCCGCCCGAACTTAGACTTTCTTGCTTGTTATTTTTGAATTGAGAATTGTGCCGATATTGCACAGTACCATCGATTTGTTGGCGATTACGCATTTTCATTTGAAGATTCACAACTTTTTTATTATCCATCGATTTTCTTCGCGAGCAAATTGATTTTTTTTTTATAAAAGAACAGACTTTAGATTAGTTTAAGAAGCCGTCTACGGGAGTGGAGGCTCACTTAGAAAATTAATTATACTGTCCATTGTGTAGTGGATAGCGAAGGGTAGGAGTTAGACAGAGGAAAGTTGAGAAGGGTGAGGAAGAGCGTAGAAACCAAGGGCGATAGGTGGAAACAAAAGGATGATGTCACTTAAGGCTTCTTGTAAGAAAACAGCTCTGTGCTCACCACGAAACTCCTCAAGTGACTTAAAACAACTCCCGAAAGCTCAACGGGTACCAGAGCACCAGGTGTTGAGATGATTCCACCTCACCATCCTCCATACAGCTGGGGCAATAGGGGTCATCGATGATATTCAGCCTTACCAACCACTCAGTGACTAGTTAGAACTACTATTTGTTTAGTCTTTAGTGCAAGTGTCCAAAGGATTTAGCTACCTTGGATTCCAAGGCCTTCGCCCAGCGCATGCGGAGCTGACTAAACGCCCATCTATTTACAAGTAGACCGCATGAGGTCAGTGACGCAACCAGACCTACCCGGAACCCAGAAATGAGCTTAATAGCGTAATTATTCGATGCGGTCGAACAAATCAACAAGGAGCCAAGAGTCTTAATAGTTGCTTTGCTGTCGGAATGGATATTCACCTCTTTACAGGGTGTTACACTACAGAGCAACCAATCCGAAGCCTTCTGTCTTCTGCTTGGAAAATGCTACAGTAATCCGGTAGCCTGAATTTCAGGTTGATGGGGAATTCTTCGCCGAAAATCTATCCACTTCGCTTATCATTCAGCTTCGATTCGCCCGTAAATACGTTAACAGAAATTATATTAAGTTTTTCAGAACCCCCTTCCAATCAGTCGATCAGAAAAGATATGAAAATAAATGTTTTTAAGTCTTAATATTTTTGAGTTTTTCCGCGTTCGGCAAAAAAAAAAAAATTTATTTATTATATAAATTAGCCTAGAAAAATTCTTTAGGCGGCGTACCTTTTTTCCGGTACGGTCTAATGTACTACATACATATGTATTTGTATGGATCTGGTCTGGTTAAGCAAGTGCAAGTTGGTCTAGCTATCATGACTGTGGTATAGCAATATGTATATAAGCATATATAGATAAATATGTGTGTACTAGCGCGCGCTTATGTAAACATTTTTATTGTCATTTGCAGCATACGCTTCCTCACAAAAACATCGCTGGTCGTGCAAAATGTGGGACGTCGGGATCGCGGTGTCTATCAGTGTTTGATACAGAATAGCAGGGCAAGTGCACAAGCAATGGCCGAATTGAAGCTGGGCGGTAAGTGTTTGTCTATTCTGAGCTGTACAAAAGTATGCAACTTAAAATAAATTCGCAATATAATTCAACTACTTTAAATAATCTACAACTACCAGTTGCCAAAATTACGCAAATATTTTTGAATACATATTTACTAATTTACTGCTCTACACCCTTTTGCTTTTGCCGTCTTACAGATACTGTGCCCGAACTGATTTACACCTTTATTGAGCAAAATGTGCGGCCAGGTCCATTAATATCGCTTAAGTGCTCGGCCAGCGGTTCGCCGCCACCGCAAGTAAGTGCAGCAGCACACGCCGCATTTGAGCCAACTTATTTTACAACAAACATACCTACATACTTATACTTAAATATATGTATGTATGTATGTTGTAGTTGTCGTACTGACACATGCCCTTCTACTTATTTACTTGCTGCTACGTTAAGTGATTATTAATGTTGTTGTTGTTTTATACATTTTATCCATTTTCCATTTGAAGTTCGCCTGGCTGCTGGACTCTCAGCCGATAATGGATGTTTCGCTGCATCATCGTTTTGCCATCGGCCAGTTTGTCGATATGTCTGGCGACGTGATCAGTCACTTGAATATATCGCATGTGCGTCCGGACGATGGCGGCCTATATAAGTGCATTGCTACCAATTCGATGGGCAGTGTAGAACACTCGGCGAGATTGAATGTTTATGGTGAGTATGGTTAAATAACGGCTGTTGTACGTACATACGTATAGTATATTTATGTTCTTTAATGCGTACACAAATTGCCTTTATAAGTAACATAAATTGCCTTAAACTACATAGTAAATTGCCTTTAAATATTTACTTAAACTACTTAAAAGTGTAGGCAATGAAAAGGCAGTTTCTCACAACGGCGGATTGGTTGAAATTATTCGACCCGCAATCTGTGCTCTTATATAAGGTGCAAATTTATGTATATTCAATATTTTTAGAAGTCAAAAGTGGTATTCACCAAATTTATTATAAATTTTTTTAATTGATTTTTTTCATATACAAGTCCATTTCGTCGAAAACCAACTGTAATTATTACGTATAACTATTTATAAAGAGTTTTTTTGGTCGCAGCGTCGAAATAATTTTTTCGATGCAATAAATTCATGCACCAAAATGTTCAAATAGTGAGTATTTTATGACATTTATTTCCATTTTTATTGAAGTGAAACTTCTTTAGTGGCGGTAATGAATTGAACAGTCAACATGGCGAATTATAAACATAAGTTGCCAACATCATCGTGAATTTTGCTACCATTAATTTGGTTGCTTGGTTCAAGTGGATTGTCACTCAGGTGACAGGCAATTAGCAAGTTTGCCATTTTGATTCCACAACTCGTGCAACCTACAGCCATTTGGCGGCTATTGAAGGGCAGTCCTATCTTTTCGGTATGTACCCCAACGGGCCAGTGCTCTGTGCAGACTGTAAGTTTGTAGGCATTTGTTTTGCTCATTCCTAAGAGAGCTTTGGTTTTGAGTGGGTCGTAGGACACCCAGAACTGCCAGGCAATTCTGTAGGATCCTGTGCAGTTCCACCTCTGCCTGGCCTTCGAATTTTGTCTTTCGGTAATTTTAGTCTTAATCTCCGCCCATGTCCACCGCGTGGGGCACATCCAGTGCGGAGCCGCTCCTTGCTAGTTCGTCCGCTGCCTCGTCCGTAGATGCCCCTATGTCGCGGGACCCATATTAGGGTAATTTCGTATTGATCTGAAATATAGGCCAGCTGCCTCCTACATTCCTCCACTAGTTGAGATCTAAAAGAGTTAGAGGAAAGTGCCTGAATCCGAGAGGATGCTCACTTGCGTTCTCGCGGGTACATTGTCTTTGATGTACCTTACTGCCTCCTTAATAGCGAACGTTTCGGCCTGGAAAACGCTTGCATAGTCTGGTAGGCGGAAGGGTAATTTTAGGTTATATTGCTCAATGAAGACCCCAGCACCAACCCCGAATTCCATCTTTGACCCATCCGTAAAGACAGTTAAGCCCTGCAAGTACCCGAAATCTTCCTGGTCCCAGTCACTGCTGCTTGGGAATTTCGTGCGGGGTTTATGGTGACCCAGGTCTTCGTCAGGATATTGTCAATAGGCAGCGCTTTAATTTCAGACGGTATTGCGTCTACCATTAATTTACTCGCAGTTATACGTTAAGAGTGAACTTGTAAATATAGTCGTAGAAGTGAATTCAGAGTATAGTGCCTTTATTTAACTGGTTTTTACTAACTTATATAAACTATTATCTATTGTTTTACAAATATACGGTAAGACGAAACTAAAAGAAAGTTTTTTCATAAAATTTGTTAAGGTTTGGACGGGTCTTAATTCAAATCGAGTAGGCAAAAACTGCATACTCGACATTTTAAATTGACACTCAAAATCTTGGCTTAGGGTTTGTTGCCATCAAACAAAAAAATTAAGCTGTTTTATTATAAGAGTTAAATTTTTAGGCAAATTTATATATTAGAACACTTGAAAAATGCTTTACTGGTTTTTCATTTTGAACCGAACCGAACCACTTTTTGGAGAAAAAAGTAATTGCAAATCGAACGAATAACTGCTGCTTCCAGCAATGCTATTCACCCTTTAGTAGAATCAGTATGACGACCAAATAACTCGTAGTATTTTTTTTAACTATTTATATAAGTAACAATGGAGTGCAAACTCAGAAAATGAACAACTGCTGTTCCTTCCGCGACAGATATCAAATATTTATTTTTGTGTTTATTGACTAATTGAATAAAATATCCTTCGTCGCATAATTTGCTCAATCATTGTGTGCCATAAAGTTTCCCGCTCGACTTTCTATATTAACTATCTTTTAAAGCATCTCTTTGTTAACGACTATTTAAAGCGCTAAATCCGTAGCTTTTATTTATCAAATTTCTAACTATTCAACGCTCTATCCATGCATCCACTCAAAAATCTCACAAATTGTGGTTAGTTTTCAATTGTACCTATCGTAAAATAAAACATGTGAGGACAGCACTGTGCTCGGCTATGCCGAAGGCTTCACACCTTTCATGAAAATCATAAAGACCGTTTTTTACTTTAAATGCTATTTTGGCATTGGCCCACGCAAAAGTTCTTATTAGCCGTCGCGAAGTAAGCGGGCTTTGGCTAGTATATTATAAAACACACCCTTTTTCCAAATGTCAGTCGGATATCTCGGATACTGAAGGACTAGATTTTGTTAAAACATACAGTCAAAAAGGCAGACGGACAGACATGGTTAAATCGACTCAGCTTGACGTTCTGAACATTTCCATGGGTCTATCTCTTCTTCTTCTAGTATGTAGATACTTACAAAAATCGGACCAAAGTTAAAAATATTACATTTTCATGCTCGTGAAGGGTATAAAAATGTACGAAAGAACTTTGTTGCAAGAAAACAATTTCAAGTGCAGCAGAAAATCAATTTCCTATGCTTCCTCATTATCAATTGTGCTAGCGCATAAATAAGGGGAAACACTAAGCTATTCGTTCGCTATTACCATCCTCTTGCCCGCGAGCCAATTTTATTGTAACTTTATTGTTACACTAACTCCATGAAATACCCAAGCTCCCAGTCACACACACACTCAAACATACAAACTCAACGACTTTCACATACAGATTTCAATTTTTTCCATACCTTTTCTGCACATTCCACTGTGGCGACCATGACTGTGGCAGTAGCATTGTGATGCTGTCATTGTTATCAGTAGACTGCGAAGAACAGTTGAAGGGGCAATGATGATACGAGTAGCATAGCAGCAAAGGAACACCGCTGACAATGGCAACTAGAATGTTAGCGTCAATGTTGGCGGTGAGCAAGACAACGTTGATGACGTGACTGACGGGCATGATGGCAGTGACATCGGTATGATAACTCAGGGTACAGGGATACAATGGTATCAGTGTTGTGTCGCTTTTATGTACTACGATTTTGTTTCGGTTCTAATGGCGGCGGAGCAAAAGTTGCCGCTAACCCGCCATTATTTTGGAGCGAGGGGTGTAGTGCTTATTGGCAAACACTTTCAAAACTCTAATAAGGACAACGTTTTTCCGATGTCGTTTATTTATTTATTTATATACCTATATATGTTTATGTGTCTGTGAATGTTTGTACAGGTCTCTGTACATTCTGATATTGTCTACTTATTCTGTATGCTGCAACGGAATTCTAAGCGTTTTCCTATACACTTTATTATAATAAATATGTGTAGTAAAGGACTTTTGGCCATCTTTATCAACAAGGTATTGCGTTGCTTTTGTTTTTTTGTTACTTTCTTTTTTTTATTGCACGAATATATATTGGGAATGTAGTTAACTAACGAACATTGATTGGAAATATGTATTACGGAACCCGTGTATACACGAAAATGTTAGAAATTGTCATAAAAATGTATGGTTAGGTTGAAGCTTATTCCAGTATATGACCACTAAGGGGGTCCTTAAAAAATCAAATCAACGATTTTTTCAGTCTCCCTTTTCCCTCTCAATCGGTAATACCACGGCCACAGATATCACATATAAATTTTTGGGCCCGATTGCAGTCGGTTAAGAGTTTTTATAGGTATGCCCCCGGAACGCCAGTCACCATCGGCAAAATTTATACTGTGATATCTCCGATTATAGTAGCATCGACAAAGGGGTTGAGTCTTAGGAAATCTGATGTAAAAATTTGCTTCCCACATTTAAGGACCACCCTAATGGCCATAGATATGCATGTAGATGAGTATACGAACATGCTGTTGTATTTGTATTTATCAATGTCGGGATTATGTAAAAATATGCATACATACATCTACGAGTAGATTAGTTTAGGTGTGTGTGTGTGCTATGTTAGGGGCCAAATGCTCTATTTATGGAGTTAGGTATCGAGCAAAGATTACTGAGTGGAGTTGTGGATTTTATGCGGATATAAATTTCAGCTTTAATAATTTGCAAATGTGTGGGTATCTGCTTGTTTACAGTAGAGTGCCGCAAGCTACCACAAAACAATGGTTTCTTTTTCCTTAAGAATAACTATCATAAACCTATTTTTATTTTATGACTTTCCTTTATGTATTGTTAACTAAAAATTGTGCTTTACCTTAAACATATATTTATTATGAAAAAATATTTACCGTAAAAAGTTTTGGAGTACCAGAAAATTTTAATTTAAACCGTAGACTTAAGCTGATACCAGCAATATCCTTGTACGGTACAAAACAAGTTTCCGAATAAAAAACGACAAGCCAAGTCGATGACATTCTGGTAGATGGAAGGAAGGCACGCTTCCGGCATTTTGGATGTACACTACGAGGTAAAAAATCGAACACTATCTTGCTAAGATAACTACACACCTCTGTGTAACAAAAATGTACCTCAAGCATGAAAGCTCTACGTAGAAAAGTTGCAATCAGACCAATCGACATAGGCGAGCAATGGAGTGACATTTCTCGCTCATGACCTAATGTCCTATGGTGCGGCAAAAATTCGAAACTTTAAAATGAAATGATTTCGCAACTATGAATCTGCTGCCAGGGTTGCAAAATTAAAAATAGCAAAACCAGTATGGCGATTAAAACAATAAAAAAATAAAAATATTCCCACGAATTTAGAACTTTCTCGTTTTTTTTAAGACGATTAAAAAAATACCATTATATTTCTGCTTCTAAAAAATTTCCGCTACAGTGTTGATATTCAAAATTTTTTTTC